AAAGATTCTTTAAAATTCTTTCCTTTTCCTCATGACTGGTGAGGCCACACCTCCCCTGCCTCTAGTGACTGCCCATCCCTGGTAGTCATTAACTGGTAGGACATTATATTATGTTGCCATCCTAACCCTTCTTTTTTTGTTTTTGAAGTGTGCCGAAGGCCCAAGAGGGGAGAAAGGAGACTCAGGAGAAAAGGTAGGCATGCCTTTATCACAACGTGGGAAAAACAAAACAAAATCTGTTTTATTTCAGCCTTTCCCTGTTCTTCCTCTTCGTCTTTAACAGGCCTCCGATCTTCACACAAATCCCTCTCTGCATTCCAACATTTGTCTTAGGAAGAATTTGGTCAATATTAGCTTACGATATTATGATTTATTTTTGAAACATGCTTTGCTTGTAAAGCAAGCCTTAACTTGGGGGAACCCAAACATTTTTTGGCCCAGACATACCTGCAAAGATCAGCAGCTCTGAAAAACAGGCTGTGGAACATTGATTGTGTGTAACATGTGGTGTTCCTGGAAAGTAAAAATGGATTGTTTCAGTCCAATTGTAGCCCTGGCACAGGAGAAGAAGCCTTCAGATTGGCAAAGTTGTCCTCTGGGGCTGCTTCCTACTAGTTTCTTTGTGTCTTTTTTGTCTCCTGCTTTTCCCACTTAACCTCACAGAGCCCATGGCTGTGTTCACACAATATGCCTATCTTGTAATCACTGGACATTCTGGGTTTGCAGCCAGCTACCTTGGACCGTAAGCTATACTATCCAAAAAGACTGCTTTTATACAACATAGTAAGAGTCTTTTTCACATGCACACATGCACACTCAAAAGCAACCAAAGTGAATCAAGGTGGCTTGCAAAATGAATTAACACCCAGCTTTGTAACTGACCGCATAAAACTGTTGTGTGAACTTTTTGTGTGTTCTTTGCGTCTCACACACACATGCCTTCTTAGGCAGGATCTTTGGAGCCTGTTTCTCTAGATGTCCTTTATTTAACCAAAAAGTATTCTTTAAGAAGAATAACAGAGATAAAGACTGAAGAAAGGAGAAACAATTTTGCTCAGTGTTGTTGAACATAGGGTCATCTTAAAGGGAGACCCTTTGATCTGTCCTCAGTGGTCCAATCTGCAAAGACCAAAACATTATTAACAATATTTATAGTTTGCTCTATACCAGAGGGCCAACTATCAGACCAGGCAGAAAGCACCAACCATGAATACTAACACTACCTTTATTGTAAAGTTACACTATAGTCTTGCAAGTCTGAATGTACATCAGTGGTGGGATTCAAAAAAAATTACTACCAATTCTGTGGGCATGGCTTGGTGGGTGTGGCATTGTTTTGTGGGCATTGCTTTCTGGGTGTGGTAGGGGAAAGATACTACAAAATCCCCATTCTCTTCCCACTCCTGGAGGAAGGTTACTGCAAAATCTCCATTCCCTCGCCACCCCACTAACCTGTTTTCCAGCTCCATTCTCCTTTTCAGGGCAACAAAAGAAGATCAACTAGGAGGCTGGGAGGCAGTAGGGGCGGGGCCAGCCTATTTGCCAGTTCTCCAAACTATTCAAAATTCCCACTACCGGTTCTCCAGAACCTGTCAGAACCAGCTAAATACCACCTGTGTAGTACATCTCCCCTATCTTCTTTTTATTCTCCACATAACTAGGGAGAGTCCCTTCTGAGACCTCATCCTTTGTTTATCACACTATGGTCTAACCTGTGACTCTTTCTCCCATCTCCCAAGGTCATATCCACACACCATTACACCAACCTTTGATTAGATGAAAAAATAAAATAAAAGAGTGAGCTAGGTTGAACTAGGTTGAGAGACCACAGTAAAAGCCACAGTTAGGGATTGGACCTGAAATTGGAAAGACATTGTGAAAGAAGACAATGACAACTGCCATATGCCTTATTTCTAAAAATGCCAACTGAAAGAGTCCATAAAATTAGCAGGGGTCAACTCTATTTAAAGGAAATTAAACTTGACTGTTGTGGTCCACTGGCGGCCTGCGGAGCTGGCAGCAGAATCGGACAGTGAGGAGTTTGGGGAGGAACATGGGCCAGTCCCGGAGTCTGGGGAAGGCTCAGACGAGGGCTCTGCATCAGAGGCAGAGAGGGGGCCAGGGCCATCTGGGAGTTATGTGTTGCTTCCGGAACCTCCAGTGTCGGCATCAGCAAGGCAGAGTAACAGGGAGAGCCTGTTCCCAGTGCGCGCATGCACAGAGCTGCCAGAAGGCAAGAACAGTTAAGAAAGAAGGGATGACTCAGGAATAAGGCTTGGAAGTGATTGCCCTCCTCCCATAGGACATAAAGGAAGAGCAAAGGCACACAAGCCTTTGCAGGAAGCAACTTGGCTCATGCTGGTCAGTTTAAATTCTGAAGCTCCGTTTTGACTCTTTGCTCCATTGCCAATCTAATTGCCAAATAAGTCTTTGGCAGCATTTTCAAAGAAGATAAAGGTGGGTGCTTATCAGCCTTATCCCGAAAGACTTTGGCAGGCTACTGTCGGACTCTTTACAACTATTTGGGACTCATTGTGGGCTGTGAATGAACATAATTCACAGCCTTTGAAATAAAAAGAGGGTTTTTGGAACTATGTGTCTGCTTTTTACTGTCTCAGGAAGCCTAGTTCAGAACAGTGACCTATTTAGGGACTTGCCATCATTTTGAGGGACAGAATCTTTTGTAGTGTCTTGACTTGATATATGTTTCTATCCAAGTGTAGGCAAGTCTATACAATATAGTGATATAAACTTATGTCAAAAAATCAGCCATGACCAGGATAAATGCAATTTCAAATGACATAACCAGAAAGATCTGCTGTGATTTCAATTGCTTAGGAATAGAGTGACAAGGCCAGGATTGAAAGAGCCACATCAAAGTTGTGTAAAGGAAGAATGAATCACATCAGGTGTGTGAGTGCATGTGAAAAGTCAAAGTACCAGGTGCATCCATACATTCAAAGCCCCAATGGGTCTTTTATGTGGACACATTAAAAAGGAGTGGGACTTCACTTGCAAAATTGCAGCTTGTCATCTTGATTTTGGTGACTTCTCTTTCAGCTACTCTAGGTGCCTCAGTCTAAACTTCTGCTGTCTGTTGTCCTATAAACTGATGCAACTTTGATGTAGAAAAGTGATGGAGGACTCAACATTGCCAAACTACCATCTCAGCAAAGAGGGAGTTTCTTTATTTCCCCGTAGGGTAGGATCTGTACCAAGACCAGAACCATCAAAACCACAAGAAAGTGTTGTGGCTCGCTGGTGGCCAGTAGAGCTGGCAGCAGAGTCAGACAGTGAGGAGGTTGGGGTGGAACAAAGACCAATCCTGGGACTGAGGAAAGCTCAGACGAGGGCTCTGTGTTGGAGGCAGAGAGGGAGTTAGACAGCAGTGAGGCAGAGGAACAGCTGGCACCTATTTCCACTGTATGCATGTGCAGAGCTGCCAGAAGACAAGAACAACTAAGAAAGAAGGGTCGACTTGGGAGTAAAGCCACACCTTGGAGGTGATTGGCCCCTTCCAGAGGAAACAAAAGGGGAGCGTATGGGGAGTGGGCTTTTGCAGGAAACAATTCCTGTATAAAGTTCTGTTTGTGACTATAAGAGACTCTGTGCCAAGTGTTGCCTTGCCCTGCATTGGGAAACTAGTTATCTGGCAGCTTGTCAAGCGAGATAAGGTTCGTGTTGATAAATATTCTTCTGAAAGACTGTTAGCCAAGCCTTGCTGGCTGTGAATGAAAGGAATTCACAATCATGTAAATAAAAGTGGTTTTGCCGGGACCAAGACTCTGCTTCATGCTTTTTAGGTAGGAACAGAAAGGTGGCTCAGAAGAATATTCCTTACAGTTCCAGCTATCAGCCAATAGAACAGGCTACTGCATGATGTAGAAAGTTTTCCTTTCCTTACTGGAAGTCTTCAAACTGTAAAGATTTCAAGGAAGACCAGAGTAGGAAACGGAAGTCATGCAGGCCAATACTGTTTTCATTATATAGTAACAAAATTTTGTGAGTGTGAATGCACTTCCCCACTCCCTCCCTTTAGTTTTGTGAGAACTAGGGAAGGTCTCATCTGGGGCACTGTCCCAAGTTTCAGTTCTGCTCCGAATTCAGATTTCTTTTATCCGATCCCTGCCTTGGTTACTGCTCTTCCTCTTATCCCCTCAAAGTCATTCCTTCTGCCTATTACATAAACAGATGCTGGATGGTTATCTGTCAGAGACTCTGTAGATTCTGCAACGAGCAGGGGGTTGGATTTGATGACCTCTCGGTTCCCTTCCGATTCTAGGATTCTTTGCATTTTTAGAAAAAAAACTTCACTTGGCAGGTTTCTTTGCATCTGAATCCAGGGGTCATCTCTCTTTAGCCCTCTCGCTTTAACCTGGCTTCAGTAGGGCAGCGCCTGTCAAGTGCAATCTCAACAGTTGAGTCAGCCAGTAAACTTCCTGTGACTTTCCCAACCCTGGACAGGCCCTTGTGCCCATCTACTTAACACTTCACCATCTCCTCTGTGCTGTTTCGCCGAGATGCTGAGGTTTTCCTCTCCTCCCAGTAATTGGAACTAAGGCCAGGGAGACAGCTCATTGCACACAGCCAAAGTTTATATTGTGAATGATAAATATTTAGTTTTGCTCTTCTAGATGTGAAGGCATTGAAGCTCTTCTCCAGGAACTGGTCAAATGCTTCCTGCTTTATGTGCACAATGACCAACCTAGAAATGTAACAAAACAAAGATTTTGGCTGGTTGTTACAAACCAATATTATTTAGTTGACTTTCCCTTTCCTTCTGATCTGGTCGTCTTCTCCTCATTCCTTAGAGGAACCTTGACATTAACCCAAATACACTTTTCTTCTGAGGAGAGGCCGCCTGTCAGACCTGCAGCCATCTTTTCTTTTGGGTCTTTGGCCTGCCACACTTTCTATTATTCTACTATGCATTTTCTATTGTGGGGAAGTGGGAGGGAGGATAGCATGGAGTTAGATGCTATGTAGCCATAACTAAATTCTTTCTAGAAAGCCAAGGTCATTCTTTGTCTCTACACCTCTGCATCTGACTGGAACTGGATGGGTGGAAGCTGTCAGCATGGCAGTGGGAGATTGGACCATGGGATGGACTTGTGGGTATGGGGGCAAGATCTTGAATTTTCAACTGGATGGGGAAAAACAGGAAGCTTTCAGATTTGGGTTTTCCCAGATGTGCCAACATGGCTCTCTTAATAAATTGGAACTTTGAGCAATACTTTGCCTTGG